TTGTAACACTATTATCTGTCATAAATCTCTGAATAAAACACCACATGTACATATTTTTTTTTAAAGTAGACAACCCAGGGTATTCAATATGTCTTTTTTAGCAGCCACTTAGTCGAAAACACTGGCCAAAGTTAGCATTCACATTTGTTTGTGTGTGAAAAAAGTAAAAAACTAAATTGAACGCTAATTTTGGCCAGTGTTTGCGACCAAGTGGCTACTAAAAAAGACTGGACATACCCCATTTGCAATACTTTCGGTTGTCTTCTTTTGCAAATGGTATGCCATCATGGGGGTAATTCTCATTCCTGGGCTACCATACGCTCTTAAAGGCAATGTAACCAACCTGGCCTTTTTCAATGTAAAAATATTTGACCCATATATTTGACCCTGTAACTTTCAAAAACGCTATAAAACCTGTACATGGGGGATGCTGTTATACTCTCAAGACTTTGCTGAACACAAATATTAGTGTTTCAAAACAGGAAAACGTGTCACAACAATTATATCATCAGTAAAAGTGCTGTTTGTGTGTGAAAAATGCAAAAAAGTAACTTTCACTGACAATATCATTGCTGTGATATGTTTTACTGTTTTAAATCACTAATATTTGTGTTCAACAAAGTCTCCCGAGTAAAACAGTACCCCTCATGTACAGGTTTTAGGGTGTCATAGAAAGTTACAGGGTAAAATATAGTGCTTGCAAATTAAATTCTCTGGACTTTTGGCCTGGGTTGGCAGACAGGTCCCTCAAATTGCAATCAATAAAATTACTTAATTATGTAAAAATATTACATAAATACGCACGTAGAATTTAAATATATATATGCATATTTATATATTTGAAGTCTACGTGTATATTTATATAATTATTTATGTATATTTCATATTATTTTTATTTATATATACATAGATATATATACAATTTCATTCTAAGTATATTTTGATATAAAAATATATATATATATATTACTATCAAAATACAGTTAGAATAAAATTTCATATAGATATATATATTTAAATTATTATTATTTTTACATGTTTTAATTTAATTTAAATTACTTATTATTTGTATTTTATAATTATATACAATATATAGTTATTTTATATATATATATATGTGTGTTATTTAATTATAAGTGTATTTAATTTAATTAATGTATGTGCATATTAATATAAAAATACACTTAGTATGACATTATACACATATATCATTTTTTTAAAATTAACTTTAACTTTCATTTTACACTAGCAGGGAGACTGCCTGTTAGCACAGGCAGTCCTCCTGCAGGCAGACACATGGCCACAGGGGTCCTAATCCGCCATGGGGAGACTGTCTGGGCTGCAAGCAGTCTCCCCACAATGGGAGCACCGCCGATTGCCGCCGGGGGGAATGACGGTGATCGGGTAAGTACATTGGACCGTTAAGACGGTTCAGGACCGTCACGGGTCGACAATGGAAAAATGCAGATGACTGTCCTGAACCGTCCTCCGTCCAATGAAGGGGTTAATAATCCATATTTTCATGGCCAGTAAACTATCATGGCTAGAAATTGGAAAATGTCACCATCACCCACTTGGCCAAATATGGTTAATCAGATTAATTTCCAAATTCGAATGGAAGAAGGTTAATCTAATGGTGGAACATTATGGATGGTAATTTTTTATATCAAAAAGGGTGGGGGAAATATGAAAAAGAAGAAGAAAGGAATAAGGGAAAGGAATGGAAAAAGGAAGAGAGAAGAGAGGGAAAGGAAGAGAGGGAAGAAAGGGAAGAAAAGAAGGAGAAAGAGAAGGGGAAAAGGGAAAGGGAGAAGAAAAATAGAAGGAAAAGAGAAAAAAAAGATGAGTATAGAGTAACAGAAACACCAAATACCAGTTCTATACATATATATATATATATATATATATATATATATATATCTAAGATATATTCAGAACCTCAAGTTCCTGACGCAAGGATAATAATCACAATGCAGACCCGTATGAATGATTATAAACCTCAATTAGATAGAAAAATGAAAGGATGAGAAAGAAATGAGAAAAAGGGAAAGAGAAAGGGCGGTTATAAATATTTGTAACTTAATATATCAAAATAGTGACATGAAAATGAATTTTAGCAACGAATAATTGAATATGTAATTGTAAGTGATTATATATGTGACATGTGTGTCTTTGTATGTAAATTTATTAAAATTTCAACAATTATTTTTATTTATAATTGCAAAAAAAAAAAAAAAAAACTAATCCCTTCTCTGCTTCACCCCTTACATATGTCTCTTCTCATTGAAAAGCTATACAACAATAACCTAGAATGTAAAAGTGCAGCAAATGGCAAGATGTAAAATACTAAGTATATAAAATGTCAATGTCCTGGAGGTTTGGCTAATCCTTTTTATAGATTTTACGAGTGTCAAATTCCTTTTCGAGCTGATCCTGTTACTATTTTTTTCGGTCTAGTCAATCACATGATTGTAGTAATTTCTCAAGTCTATTCTAGGTCCTCCAGCTACAAGCATAAGGACATTGTTAAGCTTCGGAGTCCTTCATTAAAATGAAGTTCACATTATAGCAGCATCAGCTCACTTTTTCTACTTTCATGTTTCAGCTCAAAGGAACCTCATGTTTGAAGTTCTCTTACTCATGTACCATCAAAGGTTTTGCGGAACTAGCATTTTATGGTCTTCCATAAGCCACCTGCCCAAAATTCACTGTATGAAAGTGACATTCCACGAGTGCCTTGCAGATACGGGTTTGTAGGTTGCTGAATAAAGCTGAATTGCAAATTGGCTTATTTGAAAGGAAATAAATGCCTAAATCCTATAAGAATATTAAATAAAACCCTCCCTACAAACTGCTCACAAAATATAATGGTTGTCGAGAGAACCAGCTGTAAATCTGAAGTTAACGTAATGTGCTCAGTTTGGTCACATGCAATAGAACTGCACATATTTTCCTGTGAATGGTTTAGGTGCTCTGAATTTCCAGGGAAATTTAATGTTTCTGTTTTATTGCAGTGTATTAAATTATTTTGTTAAATTTTTTTTTTCTTGGTTCCTATGGAGTGATTAAGGGCAACACGTAAATTCATAAATTGTAGTTGTTAGGATTTTATTTAATTAATGCTCATTTTAATCAGACCACTGCAATAATAGGGTACCAATGAATCCAGCTGTTTATTGTAGAAAACTGGACGCAACCGTTAATACACATTTATACAAGGATAAACTGGGATAAGGCTCTTTCGAGGATAGCAATTTAAAATATTGAAAACATGGCGTGAAGATGATAATGATATAACTAGCTACAATGATGAACGTTTTTTAATATGTTATTTCTATATAGTGATAAATGTGAGCAAAGTGCAAACTTGGCGCTAGCTGTAAAAGAGTATGGAGCAAGTGTTGAGTCACTCTATACAACTCAACTCAATAAAAAAGTATTACCACACCTATGGACCTACAATAATCCTAAACTTCAAATACAAAAATGGATCATGGTGTAGTATATAACATATAATACATAAAATACTGTAAAAAACTGAAATGAATTCAGCACAAAATACTGTTACAATTAAGAAGGCAGCTCAATCACCCAATCCGGGTCTCTCTGGTCTGGTAGAAGATTGAAAAGGCCAGAAGGTGGGTGCAGCACCAGGAGTATCTTTAACCCCTTAAGGACCAAACCTCTGGAATAAAAGGGAATCATGACATGTCACACATGTCATGTGTCCTTTAAGGGGTTAAGGGTATATGTTGTAAAAAAAGAAGGAAAAACTAATAGTGTGTATTGAAAAATAAGATGAAAAAATAATCACACTTTTTAGGAGCTTAGATTCAGCTCTAAGATGAGCACTTAGGCGGAATGATCTGAAAGGCAAAATGGCTGCATATCAAGACAGAGAGGAAGAAGAGAAAGACCGGAACAAACACACCTCCTCTACAGCACCTCAGAGACCAGGACAGACTTCCTAACCCTTTTTTCCATGTAGCACTTGTTGTTTTTTGTGTATTTATGTGTGTGGAGAGAAGGGTATTACACACCAGTGCAGGCATAGGCAACCTTCCACACTCCAGATGTTTTGGACTGCACCTCCCATAATGCTTTGCCAGCATTATGGGTGTAAGAGCATTATAGGGGATGTAGTCTACAACATCTGGAGTGCCAAAGGTTGCCTACCCCTGCAACCCCTGCAGTGTATAGAGCTGCTGGTTTCTTTGATACTTTTCACTAAAGCATATTTGTAGTAACACACTTTCTTGTAATAGGAGGCTTTGTTTTGTTTGCCTTCTATGTATCTGTTTGTTCCCACAGCACTTCCATGTGTATCTTTGTGTATCTCTTTCTTACCCTGGCTACTTTGTGCATCTGTTCAACCCCTAACTGCTTTGTGTGTCTCTTTTTCCTCTTCCCCAGCCCCTCTGTGTGTCTTTTTGTCCCCCTTCAGCCTCTATGTGTGCCTCTTTTTCCCTTATCAGACCATCTGTGTGTCTTCTTTGCCACCCTTTCTGTGCCCTCTTTAGCCCCTCTCCCCTGTGCCTGCTCAGGCTCGCCTGAGGCCGAAGGTCCGCAGCAGAGGAGCCTCTGTTTCCTGTACCCGGTCTGACAGGATGTAGTTCTGTACTCTTTGTGAGAATTTCCTGTTGAACCGGGTAGGGGAACAGAGGCTCCTCTACCACAGTCTGCCTGTTTGGCCATGCTACATGCATTGACCGGCAGGAGGGGAGCCCTGTGCAGTGCGCTCCTCTCTTGCCAGTCATTGGGAGGCCTGGCATTCCGGGCACCTCCCTACTGACTGGCACCCAGGGCGTACAATACCCTCCGCCCCCATTTAGTATACCACTGCTTCTTTGTTCAGTTGTGTAATAATCTCTGCACATTAATGTATTTCACTGCGCATCATGTTATCTGCATAAACTAGTAGGTAAATTAATTTTCCATTGAACTAGAAACCAAAGAAAAAAGTTACTTGCACACTATCCAAAATCCTTATGCACATTTACCTAACTGTTTAGCATAACTCCAATAGCCATTATGTGTAAGCTCACCTGCCATGTCAAGGCAAAACATTTTAGGTGAGTCCTACATTAACATTTCACCTTGCTTCTTTAAGGGGAAAGGCAAAAGCTCTAATGAGACAGAGAGCGGTATTTTTCTAAACCCCTTCACACTTATTAACCCTTTATAGGGAACACATGGGATTGATGCAGTGGTGTATTTAGGATTTGGGCTTCCCTAGGCAGGACGGTGCCCGGGCACCCCCCCCAATTTAAATTTCCCCCACCTCTTCCTGTCAAGGCCGCACTTTGACAGACGCACACTCACTGACAGACGCATACACTCATTGACAGAGACACACTCTCATATATACTGACAAACAATGACATACACACTATTACTTGGACACACACTGACAGACGTACGCACTCACCGACACGTACACACTCACTGACCAATACACACACTGACAGACGCACGCACTCACCGACACGTACACACTCACTGACCAATACACACATTCACAGACACACACTAACTTCCAGACACACACAATCACTCTCATACACACTGACATACACACACTGACAGCCAGACATACACAATCACTCAGACATACACACACTGACAGCCCCACCCCCCTTCCTTTCCCCTCCCCTCCCATCCCCAAACATTAACCAATTGCTTTTTATTTTTTAGTTTAAATCCACCCAGCCTCTCTACCTTTGGGAGTGCTGGGTGGATTTTTTTTTTTATCTGGGGTCCTTGGGTTCCTTCTGACAGGAAGGGAGGCAGGCGGGCGGGCGGCTAACTAAGAATCCATGCGGGCGGGCGGCACTGGTGAGGGAGCACTGATTAGTGAGCTCTCTGCTCAGCTCTCTCACGCACCTGACTGGACTGTTAGTTAGCCGCCGCCACGCTAACAAGTGATTTGCCTGGGAATTTGGGGGCGGCATTTTTGGCCGCCCCCTGGAAAGTGCCACCCAAGGCAAGTACCTTGTTTGCCTCGCGGCAAATACTTCCCTGGGTTGATGGCAGCATTGTTACTGCACTGCACTGTACTGTAATACAAACGCAAATACAAACACACAAAATTAAGCCCTGTGGTCAAACTCAAATTCTCAGTTTTTTTGTCTGGTAAATAAACATACTAGACCTTCATTTGTTTCAAATCCATCAGGCTCTAAAGTTTAAATTTCTTAATCTATTTTACCATCCAAGAAAGCCAACATTACATCTAGTTTCTCTACATGAAACGGTCTAGATGCTGCAATAGTCAGTAATGTTCTGATTGTGCTGAACTTGACCAAAGATGCACAGATATCATCATAGTCTTCTCCTTACCTCTGAGTAAATCCTTTTTGTTACATTTCCTTCTGCAACCAGTTTGTGCTTGAATACTCATATACAACCTATGGTCTTTTTTTTGTCTTTAGGTAACTTAGTGAGATTCCATGTTATGTTTTTGTTTAAGGATTACATTTCTTATATTACTGCTTTCTTCCACTTAGTGGTTTCATAATAGGAAGTTTATCAGTGAGGGTTCATATGTTGACTCTGATGTTGCAAGATAGGACAGGCAAGTAGCTGAAAACATCCTTGTTTTTTCCGGATGAGCGTCTAGGTGTTGGTTTTAAAATTTCATCAGCTTGATCAGCAGTATCTGGCTCAACAAAATAATTATAGTGGCACTGTCATGGCAGCATCTGTTTTTGAACCCCTTTCCCAACTCCTTTACACTTTATTATCCCCTCAGTCACCCACAAATACCTCTAGGTCCCCCATTTCACCATTTTTACTGCTTAATGTCTTCTATGGATCTATGTCCTAAGCGCCACCATCTTTGTGTTCCTGGATGATGTTTACCACATCGCCTTCATCTGCCCACACTAGCTCACACTGTGAAATTATGGTGCATGATCAGCTTACACTCTAAACCAATTAGCTAACCCTACACTACAGGGCTTAACTCAGGAGAGGTAATAGAAGCTCATAAGCAGAAGTTTCCAGATTTCCTGGTAGCTCATAGAAGGTGGACAGCAATTTCCGACAGACCTTTGGTAAGAAGATAAAAGGACAAACTGTTCTAAAGCTAGTGTTTATTTAAGTACACTTAGGCCAAACTGTAGTATGCAGAATATTGCAATAACAGGCTGCAAATAATCCCTTTAATGTATTCAGTGTGCTAAGAGCTGCTTCCCTTGTGCAGCAGTGAAGTTTTTTGTTTTTTTGTGTAAATTTCTTTTATTCAAAGAATTTTCACTTTATGCATAAACATTGTCGCGGACACGCAGGTCCAATAAAGGCTTTTTTCAATTCACGTCTCAGACATGAGATAGTTATAGTGAACAACCATGTTGACATGCAAGTCATCAAACAGTCTAAAGAAACATACTATTTGGGCTCGTAGGTCCTAAGAACCTTTGTGTGGATGGGGCTTTCCCTCTAGCGTACGGTTGTTGTGGCTATGCTAGGCCACCTAGTGTGGCAGGGGTGGCTTGTGTCTTGTGCCAAGACAGGTAGTGTGTAATGACCAACCGTATGGGGGAGAAACAGGATTTTGTGCGTGCCTTGCGAGTTCAGTTCTAGGATCTTTGGTGACGGTGGGGTATACCCCAGTTAATCTGGCTGGGGCGGGGGTGGTTTGTACTGTCTTAATCCTGTCTGCTCATTAACTCCCGCGTTTGACGTGGGTGCAAAATTAAGCTTGTTTCTCCTTGTCTTATCCTTAACCGTGAACCCCTGTCTCTTTTCCTGTTTTTCCCTTCTTATTCTCTTTTCTCCTTCCTTTTTGTCTCCCTTACACCTTTCCCTTTCTTTTCCCTCCTTTCTTTTTCTCTCTTTTTACTCTTGTCTTCCCCCTTCCTGTTCTTTTTCTTCCCCCTTTGCTACCCTTATCTTTTCCCTCTCTTCCTTTTTTTGCTTAGAGGGTGCCTATCCGTCTGGAGCCTCTACGTCTTATGAACTTCTCTACTGTGTCGCCTTCACGCCCGCTGGTTCCCCAAGGTGGGGGACGGGTGAGGGTGGGGATGGGTGAGGGGGGGGGATAGGAGGGGAGAAGAGGGGGAGGGGGTGTTTTATTTATTATGATGTTGTTTCTGGTATTTTTCCTGTTTGTTAGTGTAGTTGCTCTCTCAGTCAAGGTAGTCTTTTGTCCCGTCAGGTGTCTTCAGTCATGTCAACAGAACCTGGAAGTCAGCGTTAGTCGAGGTCAGTATCCAGTGTGTCCAGACCGTCATGTACGTCTGGGTCCTCCCCTCTGCCAGCAGGGAGAGCTCTTCCAGTGCTCTCAGCTCCTCCATTCTTTGGTACCACGTCCCTAACGGGTGCACATTGTTTTTTCCAGTAGAGGGGGATTAGGCTTTTGGCTACATTAAGTATCCGTATGGTTAAGGATTTTTTATATGTCGATGCTTTCGTCTTGGTGTCATGGATGAGAAATGTTGCGGGGTTCATGGGTGGTGGGGAGTCTGTGAATCTTTTTATGATTGTGTGAATGGCTGCCCAGTATGGTTGGATGATTGGGCATTCCCACCATATGTGGAGGTATGTTCCCTTGTGTGTGTTGCACCTCCAGCATACGTCATCCTTTGTGGGGTCGTATAGGTGTGTGTGGAGTGGGGTGCGGTACCAAAGGGCCAGTATTTTGTATGCTGTTTCTTGCGTTCCGCTGGATGGTGCGCAGTGTAGTGAGAGGGTGCATATTTTGTCCCATTGGTTGGGTGTGAATGTGGTGCCTAAAACTGTTTCCCCTTTCCCCATGAAGCTTGGGGGTGGTAGCCTCCTCAACTGCATGACCATTCCATAGAGCGTTGATAGGCCCCTCGGCAGCGGGTCCGGGTCCATGCATATCTCTTCAAACGTTGTTAAGGGTCTGAGGGTGTGATTGTTTCGGGTGGTTTCTTGTATAAGCCCTTTCAGTTGTCGGTATCTGAATTGGAGCATAAATGGGTGGTCGGAGTTCCCCGTCATGGCCTCTAGTGATTTGAGGCGGCCGTCCAGCAGCTGGACCAACGTTCTTGGTTCCCTTCCTGGTGGGAAGACCTCATTATGGACTAGGGGCATCATTGGGGATGGTGTGGAGGTGAGCGAGAGTGGTACTGCCAAACCCGCACGGTCGCTTTGATTAGGGGGTGTGGAGCAGCTAGCTGTCTGCTTTGTTGGGGGTCTAGCCAGGGAAGGACTGCCATCGGTCTCTCCACCAGGGAAGACTCTACATCCTTCCAGAGTTTCTCCACTCCCCGTTTAGACCACTCCACTATCCTTTGGATGTGTGTGGCTCTATGGTATCTCTTAAAATCTGGCAGAGCTAGGCCTCCCTGGGCTTTCGGTAGTGTGAGCACGTCATGTTGTATCCTAGCCTTCTGTCTCTGCCAGGTGAACCGGAGGGCCATCGATCTAAGGGAGGTAAAAAATGCCTCCGGTATGGTCGCGGGGATAGTCTGAAACAGGTAGAGGACCCTCGGTAGGATGTTCATCTTGAGCACTCCCACTCTTCCAAACCATGAGAGGCGCACCTGGTCCCATTCCTGCAGGTCCTTCTGTATAGTGGTCAGGAGTGGTTGGAAGTTTGCTGCGTACAGTTGGGAGAGGTCGTTTGTTAGCACTGCGCCGAGGTATTTCAGGGAGGTGGCGGACCATTGAAATGGCAGCGCTCGTTTAAGGGCCGTCGCTCTGGAACCCGAGACGGAGACATTGAGGATCGTGGATTTGGAAAAATTGATTTTAAAGTTTGAGAGCTCCCCGTACTTTTTGAATTCCTTCATTATCGTGGGCATGGATGTTTCCGGCTTAGTTACGAAGAACAGTAGGTCGTCCGCATATGCTGCCACTGCGTGTTTCCCCCCTCCTGTCTCCAATCCCGGGATATCTGGGTTGTTTCGGATCGAGTTCAGGAATGGTTCCAGGGCTAGCACAAAGAGCAGGGGGGAGAGGGGGCAGCCCTGTCTGGTTCCATTCCTGATCACGAAGGGGTCTGTGAAGGCTCCATTTATGCAGATCCGTGCTGTTGGTTGTGAGTACAGAGCTCTGATCCAGGAGATCATGTATGGCCCCATCCCCAGTTTTTCGTGGACCTGGAACATGAAGTCCCATGCGATCCTGTCGAAGGCCTTCTCCGCATCCGTGGAGAGCAGGAGAAGGCCTTCCTGTCTGGTTTTTGCGAGGTGGATCAGGGAAAGTGCTCTGATTGTGTTATCTCGCGCTTCTCGGTGCGGGGTAAATCCCACCTGGTCCTTATGTATCAAGTTCGGGAGGTGGGCCTGCAGTCTCTGTGCGAGTATCTTCGTGAAAAGCTTCAAGTCGCTATTTAACAGTGAGATGGGGCGATAGTTTGCACATTGTTCAGGATCTTTCCCTTCTTTAGGTATTAGGGTGATGTTAGCCGCCAAGGTCTGTGTCGGGAATATCTGCCCTTCTCGGATCGCGTTGAGTGCCGTCGTGAGGCGTGGGACGAGGAGTTCCGCAAAGGTTTTGTAATAGCGTGCTGGTAGTCCGTCAGGTCCGGGGCTCTTGCCCGTCTTGGCCGTTTTGAGAGCCCATGCTACCTCGTGTGTCTCGATCGGTTCGTCTAGCTCTTCACTTGCCTACTGTGAGAGGCAGTTGCCTATGCGCGGTTCTAGGTAGTCTGTTATCCGCGTCTTCCTTTCTGTACCCGCTCCCTCTCCCCTGGGTGGGTCGAGTGAATATAGGTCCGCATAGTACGCCCGAATAGTGTTGGCCATCTCGGTCGGCACATTGTGCAGCTTCCCATCTCTGTCTCTGATCCCCGGGATGTAGGCCGCCACTCTCTTTTTGGCGATCATGCGGGCAAGGAGGGCACCACATTTGTTAGCGTTGGTGTAGAAGAACGCTTTGGAGTGTAAGTATGCTCTATGGTGATTGGCATTCAGGATAGAGGAGAGTTCCCTCCTGAGTACCGTTAGTTGTGTCCAGTCTGCTATCAGGTGGGTTTGTTTATGTCTACATTCCAAAGTCTGTATGTCCTTAATTAGAGTTTTAAGTCTGGCAGTTTTGGCTTTTTTAAGCGCGGCGCTTTTCGCTATGAAGTGGCCCCTCATTACGCTTTTATGAGCCTCCCATAGGCATAGAGGCGTGACCTCAGACGTATCGTTTTCTGTAAAGTATTGCGTTAGTCTTTCCCTGACTTCTGCCGTCACTCTTTTAAGATCGATTCGTTCAGTCTCCAGTTACTGCAAGTGGGCCTATAGAGTGGGGAGGTTAGTGTCATCGTGATTGGAGCATGGTCTGACCATGTCGCTATTCCAATGTCAGTTTGTCTAACCTCAGTCAGGTAATAATGTGGAATGAGGAAATAGTCTATTCTAGAGTACGTTCTGTGGGGGATAGAGTAGAAAGTGTAGTCTCGGTCTTCAGGGTGTAAAGCTCTCCAGCAGTCTACCAGACGCTTCTCTCGCAGCGTTTTCGATATGTTTGTTAAAATGTGTTGGGGGGTCGTAGAGAGGCCTATGGATGTGTCTATGGTCGGCGTCAGGGCCACATTGAGGTCCCCTCCAACGACCAGACAGTCCTCCGCGAAGCCCTCTATCGTTCTAAGTGCTGTGCGTAAGAATTGGTGTTGGCGTTTATTGGGGGTATATAGGTTCGCGAACGTGTATGTGCGGTTTGCAATTGTGCCTTTGACACATATATACCGTCCGTGGCTGTCTCGCAGTGTGTCAGTGGGGGCAGAATGTAGCGATCTATGGATCAGTATTGCCGTGCCTTTGGACTTTCCCTCTGGGTTATTACTCAGGAAACATTGCGCGTAATGTTTGTCCGTCAATCTGGGCACGTGGCCCTCTTTAAAGTGCGTCTCCTGAATGAAAACTACCTGTGACTTTTGACTGTGGAAGTGACGTAGGGCATGCAAGCGTTTTTCGGGTATGTTCATGCCTTTAGCGTTGATGGAGAGGAATTTAATCTCCGCTTGTTTGTGTGTGTTGTGGCGCGGCATGGTTGCTACGATTCAAGAGAATCAGGGTATGGTGGGGAGGGTTAGGGAGTATGGGTGGGTGCTAGAGGATTTGGCTTACTCCTCGAGTGCGGGTCTGAGGTCGTGGGTGCGTCCCCTGTCCCCCTGGGTCCCGCGGGCAGGCGCGGCTTTCAACAATTAGTAACAAATGTAACAGTATTGGTAATAAACAACAATAAACCTCGTGGGTTTTCCAAAAAAGACTAGGGTGTGGGCTAGGTAGGAGTCAAGTGTGCAGCACCTGTTGGCACCGTTGAGTCCTCCCGCCGGTATCCTGGTGCCCCTGTCTACTGGGAACGTGGCCCTCTTACTCCCTCACCCCGTAGGGCCAAGAGTGGTGGATCCTTCTCCTTTCTAGGTCTCCAGTGTCCCCTGGCCCCCTCTGCTCAGAAGCTATATAGTCAGTACAGGTGGTGCTGGCAGCCCCTGGGCCCAGCCCATCCCGGCCCTTTCCCTATCTCCCATGTGTGTGTTGGAGTGTATGGTCTTTGGATCGGCTCTACCCTACTAGTCTCTCCCCTGTTCCCCTAGCTCTCCGTTACCGGGTGGTGAGTTATGTTGCCGTGTTGTGGCTCGTAAGTTGGTGGCTTTAAGGTAAATAACCAGCTGGCCTTACACTTCCCATTTCGTGTCCCTCCCCTTATCGTGGTGTTCTGGGGGTCCGGTTGGGGTTGTCCCGCCTGGCGAGGGGTCGCGGTTGGGGGCCTGTCCCTTCTCACAGTGCTAGCCCTCCCGGGTAACCTCCGCTCCCTCTCCCTGTTGGTCTGGAGCGAGCCTTTATCCAACCTCAGCATCCCCTTTCCCATTTCCCCCCACCCAAGCGGGAAAGAAGAAGAAGAAGAAAAAAAAACCCACAAAGGAAGGGGAAAACAGAAAGGAAGGGCAAAACCACCCCATATACAATCCCCCCAGATATATCAAGAGTCCCCAGTGTTTCTTTCGTGGGTTCCTCGATTGTGCTGGCAAAATGTCTCGTATACCCACTTCTGATGGTCCCCCCACCCTCCCCTGAGACGTGGGTTTCTAAGTGTTGTAACGGCTAAGTGTGTGGCCCGTGTGTGTTATAGGCCTATGTACAGAGTGTCCCAGTGCATAGTTACGAGTTCCATGCGTGGCTCCTGTCTTGTATGTCCATTAGCGTGTTGCCCCTGCTGGCCTGACGGTCTCCAGTCTTGTTCGGTGTCTGCGCTGTGTCGGTACAGGTTCCCCCTGGAGTGTAGGTGGGCTGTTCCAGCGGATCCGGCCAAGTCAGGTTAAGGGGTGGCAAGTGGAGATCTTCTGACAGTTCCTGCAGGTCCCGTGGGGTGCGGATCAATCTAGGGCCGTTTTGGGTGGTGGCAATCAGGCCTGTAGGGAATGTCCAGCGGTATCGTATTTTCTGGGCCACTAGCATTCTGGTGAGCGGTTTTAGTGCCCTGCGATATCCCAAAGTAGCTGGGCATAGGTCCGAGTACAGTTGGAGGTGTTGGCCTTCATGAGTGATTTCTCCCCTGTTGCGTGCTGCATGCAGAATTTCCTCCTTCAAGGCGTAAAGTGCTAGACAGCAAATCACGTCCCTAGATGGTGCCTCTGGTGGGCCCCTGGGTCTCAGTGCTCTATGGGCTCTGATGAACTCTATGGGGGTCTCTCTGGGGCGGCTCAGGAGCTCGTTGAAGATGGCGGTGAGTGTGACTTTAAGCTGGGCGGGTGAGTCTTCACCTTCTTGTAGGCCTCTTACTCGTAGGTTCTGTCTGCGTCCCCTATTGTCCAGGTCCTCTATATGTCTGGCCATGGCTTGCATTTGGGCAGTTTGCTTAGAGTAGTTTGTGGCTTGTGCCGTTTGTGTTGCAGTGAGTGCGTCGTGATCTGCCTCTATTTGGGCCATGCGGTCTGCCATCCCCTGGATGTCGGCCCTCATCAGCTGCAGGTCTGTCTTGATGGAGGTCTGGAGGGCTGAGGTGGCTTGGGTGAGGTCAGCCCGCGTGGGTAGTGCCCTTAGCAGGGCCATCCAGTCTGCAGGGGGGATTTCCCCTGTGTCCTCCCGGCCTGGGGAGAGGGAGTGTGGCGTGGAGGCCTCTAATGGCAGGTAGGCCTCAGATGATGCCTGGGAAAACGGGTCCGGTGTCGCGGACAAGAACTGCCGCATGGAGGGGTTTTGGCTCACCTGGCGGGTCCCCGGTGGTCTGGGGGTGTTCCCCGCCTTGGTGTGCTTCCCCATCCTCGTGCCTGTCGCCGGCGACTTGTGCGTGGCTGAGTGGGGCCGGAGGAGCTCGGTCTCTATGCGGCCATTTCGTTCCGCCGCTAGGCCAGCAGTGAAGTTTGATCTACACATATTACTGTACCTCAGCCTTCAAATTGTATTATTCATCATGTCTGTTATCAAAATGGTCAACTATATTTGGTTAGGAAAAATGGGAATAGCAAACAACAAATCTTTGCACAACGTCTCTTATAATAAGCTCTATTGTATGGTCCTTAGAATGCCTCTTTAAAACCATAAGATTTTTCAGTCACATTGACACAAATGTGAAATATATAAGTATACTCTCCTACCTTTCAAATACAAAATTGCTTTCGGTATCCACTGTTCTGACACTTGAAGTGTTCAAGTTAAATATCGTACGATATAAGTGATTATACAATTCATTAAATGGGTTACATTTAAGTTGCAGTCATTGGGTATTGAAGGATACTAATATAGCATTAAATTAAAAAACAAAGTTTGACATTTCTACAAAACATATCAATTAGTTACGGTAAAAAGCTTTAATAGATTAGATCACAGTGTCTGAAGTAAAAGGGCAAATGGAAAATTATAAAATTATATTATGGATGAAGAAAATAGAACGTTTGCAGGCACAGCAAGGAAAAATAATTTCTTTCCAAAGATCATCCAAGTGTATAATAGACTTGGAAGAGCTGATCTGTAAATTGAACCATAAGCCTTAAGAAGAAGATATATTTTGGAAAAGAAATATGAAAAGACATACACATTTAGCATGTGTCTTGGGTGGTAAATGAGGTGCACATGTGTATGTGCAAAAGTGCTTTATATTATCTTGAATTGTCATTCATGCCAAATTTTCCATCCTCTGTGCCTTTTAGTCTTCAACCTGTGTTGGTACCTGGAAATCATTGAAAGGACAGTAAAGTTAAAAATATTTAGTGCCAGAGAAGGATAAAAATCCCACAGGGCCTTGGGCAGGTTACCTTTTGAGGGCCCCTCTTCTTTTCTCACCTAGAAATGGATGATTGGGGCCAAGCAAATTAATGGTTCTGGGGCTCATGTCTAACCCCTAGGTGGTTGTCCAAGGTCACTTTATGGTCAATTTGCTATTTTTATTGCCACATCAAAATTGAAATGTGTGAATATGATAAATACACCCCAGTCATATTCTGAGATATAACACAAATACTGCAATATCTTCCAAATGTATTTTAACCAATGTTTCGGACTTTCATTATGCTTTTAGTTTGCAGGAGATTTGTATATATGTCAAAGTTTCGACTGGAATAATCTTAAATTTAGCTGTAGTTCTAGCTAAGCCATAATGGCCAAATATTTTCCGTTCCCTTTTAATTTACATAATTTCCACTTTAGTTTTAATTGTGAGAAACTTAGCAGTGTTAAAATGATATAGTTGAATAGCTGGGAAAAACAATTAGTCTGAATGTTGCATCTCAGCCCCCTATATGCTACAATTCAATGTTACATGATTATTGTTAAAGTTAGGATTCAAAATGAATTTCAAAATTAAAGGTCAAACTAGCCTGGAACAATTCTCAAAGTTAGCTAGATATTGTGTCAGTACGGCTACTCTGGCTTTTAATGTGAAATACACTTTTTAAAAAAAAAAATTTTTTAAACAATCTTTATTTTTCTTTAATGTATTGGTAATTTTGTTTTTGAGTATAAGACCAGTGAGGTTATACATTAAGCAATTAAGTTGTACATATTTTGTTTACATTGATAAAAGGTAGAAAGCAAAAAAAGCAGATTTGCACCAAGTATACATTGAAATAAGTATGGATGTAGATATATATATGTGACGAAGTGCCCTTCGCCACTTGGTCCTGGAGAGTCCTGCTTGACTATGACTCTTTGATGTATTTGGATTTAAAGCCCCTATTCTACCTTCAGACAGACTATTTATGTAGGTTGCTTTATTTCTCTTATGTTTTAGTCACCCTCTACCCATTATAGGTGCAGGGTGTGTGTAATGTAATTGTTTATAGTGTGTGTGTGTATTGTGTAATGTATTGCCTGCTCTGCTGTACTGCTGAGGTTTGCTACCAACTAGGTGGGTTTGGCTATGGAGCTTGTCTAGTGCCCTCTGTTGGTAGCAACAGCAATATGCACTACCTGAATTGCAAGACTGGTTCATTTGCATATTCGGGTAGATTTGCATATTGCTAATTTGCAGAAACGTGAGATATTTTCTGTTAAATATTGTCTCCCCCACCCCTTTAAAAATGTGCCATTGTGTTGTGATAAGTCACTGTGTGTTGCCTGCTTTGACTGTTTGTGATTTTATTGAGTTTTCACAGCAATGTTAATGTTGTGACCCTATGGGCTGGTCCCAAGGGAAATAAAGGTTTAGACAGATCTTCTTGACCCTCAATACGTAGCCTTGTCTCGTTATTGGAGGGAACTGCTATATCACACTGGGGATTGCTATGCTCTGCATACTCCCTTGAGCGTTTAATCACTTAGCTCTTTTAAGAGCTGTTCCTGTTACACTCTCCTGGAGGAGAGGTCTTGCCCACACGGTCCTGGAGGACAGAAGCTGATCCAGGGTGGACGGAAGATGGCGAGGCTCCAGTTAAGCTACGGCGGTTGTGGAGTCTGCGGTGGTTGTGGTGTCTGCTGCACTGCTTGGAGTCCTCAGGAAGCGCTAGGAGCATCTGTCAATGGAGGGTACTCGGTCGGAGTACAAGGAGCTCCGTTACAATATATATATACAGAAAAACCAAATAGTGATAGAAATTACTTAGATATACTTAAAAAGTCAGAGAAGAATAAAACAAGGGTCTTTTTTATATAAGCCTTTGAGGACGTGATGCTTTTTGTGTAGTTCAGTCAAAAGTCCTCCTTAGCATTCAAATAAATTTGGTTTTGACTGAGGTAGGGAGTTCTGTTATTGGCATCTCATGTAAAATCTAAGCAGAAAAGAAAAAACAATCGTGCAACCCAGTATGTTCAATATCTTAATAATGTGAAGAAAAAGAATACACTCATAAGGATAGAGCCTCCAATCAGCTCTTAGATAAGGCTCTGAGTGGTATAATCCCCACTCAGGGATAAAACTGGAATTTTTCTCTTTGAATGTTCACAGTGGAAGCGGCACAAGAAAGAATAAAAACAGGATATAGTGCTCACTGTTTCAAACCAATTATAGTGTGTGGAAAAGTATGAAAATTGCTCACAATTTAAAAAAGCACCTTATGCTCAATGATATCTGCTTAGGTGGAATGATCCCCACCGAGGATATATAGGAGTAGAGGTAGATGTTGTGATGGTCCCTGGAGAGGCTCCTTTAAGATGATTAAATTAATGCAGGATAAAAAAAATTAAAAACAAAATGTTGAGGGTAAAAACAATATTTATTGTAATATACTGTACCACACAAAATGAAATAAAAGCAAATTAAAAAGTCCTTCTGAATAGTCACAACCGGTTTCGCCCTTGGGCTTTCTCTAGTGATTCATATAAGTATGTATTCTGTCTTGAAAGATGGAAGGCCTATAGTATGCAAATACAATATTCAGTCAGTTGGACAAGTAGAGTATCTCATGCCATAGCTAGTTATCAATCTTTTTTTATTGAAAACAAAACAGTATCTTATCAGACCAACGCTGCTGCACAGAGATACCTGTGTCAAAGTTGAATCATTTTGCGTCTGTCGGAAGAGGGGCGGGGGGGGAGGGAGAGAACGAGTATTGGCAGAGAAATTACAGTGGGCAGTGTGTGACTGTTGCATCAGGGTGTAAGGGACTTCAGCAGGTTAAGGAGGGAGTAAGAGGAGAAGGAAGACAGAGGGAGAGTGAAGAAGAAATATATTTGTTTACATTTTTTTATTTTATTTAGCCTTGGTTCCAAGGCAATAAACATCAACCACGGGGTCCAGGTCTGGGTACGCCATTATGAATGGCCCTGCAGGGCATCTGTCATTGATTCTATTGTATAAATCTCTCCCACCCAATCAACCCAGAAGGTTGGCGCACCCATCTGCTTCCAAGCGTGGGGATCAAGGATCAACTGGGTCTTTTATATCACAATAAAACTTTAAGACTGTTTTTTTTTTTATCAGGAAGTGTAGGCGACTTACTTAATGCACAATAATTCTCTTTAGTTAAATACATTAATTTAAAGTTCAATATATTTCACCTGTCTAAACTTCAAGTATTTTATTTCACAAAGCAGAATTTAGCAAAACGGTATATATGCAATACTAAAGTCAGCAAACTATTTTAAAACTTTGAATCTTGGGAATTTTTTTCATCTCTTTTAAAACTTGATAAGAAACATAAAGAGCACAGTTCTTTTCTTCTCTTTTCATCTATTCTTGACATCTCTGAAAAGTGTCCGAGCTGCTAAAGATGATTTCCAATGAATTTCTGTCTGTCAGATTGAAGCTTGTAATAATGTTTGATAAAACATCTTTTAAACTTGAGTTCTTGGAATAAGCAGCGCAATGCAAGCCTGTATCTTACGCGCTGATTGACACTATTCACAAACAGTTTTGGCTCGTCTATAGGATGCTCTTCAAGCAGTT